GAGAGAGAGAGAGAGAGAGAGAGAGAGAGAGAGAGAGAGAGAGAGAGAGAGAGAGAGAGAGAGAGAGAAAGAGAGATGTGTTCGAATGTGGATCGAGATTGGCCATATGCAGCTGATATGCTGCAGAAGAACTCGTAGATTTCCTGCAATTTGTCAGTCTGTAATTCTTCTTCTTCTTCTCTTCCTCTTCTTCTTCTTCTTCTTCGTCTTCTTCTTCTTCTTCTTCTTCTTCAGCAGGCAACAAACATGCAGAGCCCCCAACCCAGTACATATCAGATGACATACATTCAGCATACAGCAGGCAACATACATGCAGAGCCCCCAACCCCCAGACGCCCCCTGTGGAATACTGCGGAGCCACACGGGCCTGCAGGGCCCGACCAGACGGAAAATAAGGGCCCTCCAGGCCCTGTGTCGTTTCAGTCTAAAAGCCTGAAAACAAGGGCCATTTTCAGGCCCTCATAAAGACGACCTCGCCTGAAACTTAGGCACCAGACCAGGGTTTTAGCGCAGGCCATTTTAGGCCTATTTTCAAGACCTTTGTTTGAACTTCAACGCCAGGGTCTGGAACGTTTCGGCATTGGCAAGAGCAGCCTCCCGGACGGGCCAGCACTATATAGAACTGGCCCGCCCTGCAGGCTCCAGTTAGTCACGGGGACTTCCCAGGTAGTTCACGAGGTAGCTCATAGGGACTTCCCAGGCAGTTCACGGGCACTTCACGTGCAGGGGGCAGGATGCAGTCTTCAGGATATGGCAGCAGCACTCTGGAGGAGCGCTGCAGCAGTAGTAGTCGCGTTCGGAGTAGTCTTCAGCGCTGGGCGCTATTAGGAGCTAGAGTAGCGTTGGAGAGAGAGAGAGGGTTGGCGGAGGCCAGGGAGACTTACCTGTGGCGCCATAGCTCCAGCTTCGTCTTCGATGTACCTGCAACAAGGCGCCACCTTCACAGGTTAGTACCGTACTACAAGAGAGAGAGAGAGTTCTTCTTCTTCCTCTTCTAAGTTCACCATCTCTCCCTCACCCTCTCACTACCTGACTTCTCAGTATCTGCAGACTAAGAGAGAGAGAGAGATTGGTGACTTTGGGACTTGACGACATTTGGATCCAGACTCGACATTGGGATTGAGACATTTGACGAGGGACTACTTGGGACCCGAAGACTTGGTGTTGACGACATTCCCATCTCCCCCCCTCTTCTTCGTCTGATCCCCTCCTCTTCGTCTGTGTATGGTCTGGACCTGGTGCATTCTTCCTGTGTGTAGCGTCAGGCGCTTCACACCTTGCAATGATGATGATGTATGGTGGATCTGCATTGCGACGTTGATTGGGTTGATCATTGATATTTTAGCCTTCCGCTGCGCTATCTTGTACTATGCGAGAGAGGTCGGTTCTTGTTCTGGTCTGTACTGTTATGGTATGCGACACCCAACCCCAGCACCCCCACCCAGACCAACCCCCCCACACCCCCCCCAAAACCAAAATTTTATTGAAGTACCCTGGTTTCAAAAAAAAATAAAAAAAAATTATGGGCGGTGTTTTGGCCCGCCCGGGGCCCAATCGGCCGGGCGGCGTCCTCACTCAGATATATAACCTATACCGTATTCTTTGGGGGCTGGGGCCGATGTCGGGCGCCGTTGATAAATTTCATTGGCGGCCTATGTTGCGTTTCCCCCCTCAGAATCTCACGGGGCCTCGTCAACGGCCAATGTGTGCGAAATGTAGTGGTGGCTTAAAGAAGAAAAACCTAAGCTATATTCTTCTCTCAATTATACCTCGTGATACCCACCTACATGTCTAAGCGCAGCAACCCGTGTCTAAGTACAGCCAAGGTCCACTAGACTCCTCCCCCCCCCGGCCCCAAGGATCTAACCCCCAGCGAGGAAGGGCAGGGGCGAAGGCCCTCTGAGAGAACCCACGACCCTACCAAGGCCAACCAGGAGGGAGGGAGGGAGGGGGGGGGGG